TGATTGTTTGGTCCCTCACACTTTAATTAATCAATCTCATATCTCAAGCCAAAATTCTAATTTCAAGGACTCCACTTCTGGAAGAACACTAACAGACAAGAACTTATCACAGGATAAATAATGGTACAACATAAATGCAATAAATGATGATAAGATAATGAGGATAAATAATGACTATTGACTATTAAAGTTAATGATAGTGAGTGAATATGCTCTAACATATTAACCCACATTAACTTTGGTGTAGAGATAAATTTGGATGTAGATTTGGATAAATTTAGGTTTACTTGAATAAGTGATTATTTAAATCATGCATTCATGAGACAGCATCAGCCCTGTTTGGAGCTCTGGAGGTTTGGATACTTATGTGGGGCTTGTCCTTGGAGAGGATGGAGCAGGTTTACCGAAGATGAGGGCTGCTGGTGGTTTGAGAGGTTTGGCTCGGAAGAGGACCAAAGTCAGCCGAAAGATGGGCCAGGAGTTGCAGCACACAGGCCTGAATGCAAAAACTAGCACCTTAATAATCCTTTGGATGCTCCTTTGCTCTTACAGCAAAACTCTGGCACGTAGGATGACTTTGGGCCTGCTGGGTGACATTCAGAGGCTACTTTGAAATAATGCTGATAACTAAGAAAAAGAAGCTTGATGGCCAGTTGGAACTATTTCAAAAATGACTTTGAAATTAAAGAAAAAACAGTTAAAGACTTATATCTTAGATTGCTTTGTGCACAAAATAGTTGAAATTTCAAAACTTGAACTCAGACAATGTTAAAGAAAAATCAAACGATGTGAATGAACACATGGCATAAAACTTAGAAGACTTACAGAGCTCCAGCTTGTTCTTCAGGATGGCCAGCCTGATGGACAAGCTGGAGCTCTCGGGCGACTCCAGGTGAGACAGAGCTGGTTGAAGAAGGAAGATGATGGCGTTTTCCACTTCGATGCCAGTCTAATATGCAAACTGCAGCCCACCAGGGGGTGCAGGTGGGCAAGGACCAGCAGCTCCAGGGCCTTCGTGAGGTGCAGTGTTAAGGCCACCAGTCTGTAGCAGCTAGGGTCCTTAGGCTGTGGAGTCTTTGGAACTGGTACTACGCAGGATGTCTTCCAGAGGTGTGGTACCCTCCCTAGATCCAAGCTCAAGTTTAACAGATATCCAATGCTTAATGTTACTGAATGCTTTATTCATCATAAATGATTTGATACCACACGCATGAGGAAATGTAGAATCACATCAAACATTCTGATTACATTTTAAGTATCACACCGAACATGCTTAATTACTCTGAGGTGAAACAGATAACATATAGAAACTGTAAAACACAAGAGTGAATACATGTGAATGAACTTCATTATGATTAATAATGGATTCTATATACTTACATTCAGATCATTCAATGAAATTATAACCACCTAATGGTTAAAAATACTAAATAAATGATTAAAATATAAACCAAATAATTCTAAACTATCTCTGTTATTTAGAGTAAAGTTGTGATTCATACTCAACAAATTTAACTCTTAAAAGTTCATGAAACAGTCTGGAGCCATCTGTTTACAATTAACAGAAGAGTTTTAAAGTCTGATGGCTGTGGGTACAAAAGATCTTCTGAATCTTTCTGTCCTGCAGCAAAGAGAGAGGAGCCGTCCACCACTATCAACCTTTTGGTCCAGTCAGGTGTTATGAAGTGGATGATCCATGTTCTCCACATGATCAGTCTCCACCTTCCTAAGTGTAGATCTCTCCACCACATCCTCCACTGAGTCCAGCTTGAATCCAACCACAGAGCCAGCTTTTTTCACCAGTATGTTCATACGTCTTGCATCTTTGTGTTTGATGCTTCCTCCCCAGCAGACTGCAGCGTGGAACAGAACACTTGCCACCACAGTTGTTCTTTGTCACCATCTTTAAAAGCTTTCTTTTTCTGGTTAAGGATTGCTTTTACGTCACTTGTGATCCAGGGTTTGTTGTTGAGGAAACAGCGAACAGTTTTTGTGTGTATAACTGTGTCTCTACAGAAGTTGATATATTCAATAAAGCAGTCAACCTGTCTGTCAATGTTCATACTATCCACATCTGTCTCCAGCAGCACATTCCAGTCTGTTGATTAAAAACAGTCCCTTAGAGCTTCACTAGCTTTAAGTGTCCATCTTCTGATTTTGACTTCGGTCACAGGCTGCCTCAGTACACAAGGTCTGTAACAGGTTTGCAGATAGACCAAGTTATGATCTGACATGCCCAGTGGTGGTAAGTGTGGTATCTGGAGTACAGCATCAACATACAAGGCCGAGGTATTTCCCAAAGTTACATGAACTAATCAAAGTATGGATTGTAGACACTGGGTCGCCTGGCTGTTGAGTGCGTGTAGAGCACAGGGGGTATTCCAGAAAGCGGGTTATGTGAAAAACTCTGTGTAAGTTAACCCTGAGACTCTGAGTTATCCGTTCCAGAAAGAGAGGTAACTTAAACACTGGGTCAGTTCCTGCGGTAACTTACTCTGTGGACATAACCTGCTCGCTGGCAGGTTTACTATAAGAGACCCAGAGTTTCTACATGTCTCCTCCCACACAAAGAAAGTGGTTGAACATAGATTGTCCATTCATTGAAAATCCGATCGACATCGAAGCCATAATAATTTGCAACGCTTTACGTCGCAAGAGAATCTTCCGACCCAGGTTAGACGTTTTATCATTTCCAGAAAAATTCTTTTCGAACGCTACCGCTTTTCTTTGAACAGTATACTTTATCTAAATAACCTTCTCCAGCCATGTATCACCAACCTCACACACCGCGGACGAGCACTCACATCAGAGCAAACTTTATGCATAGCACTATGTTTTTTTGCAAACTGCAGTTTTCTGTACAATATCGGGGATGCAGAGCACTACGGGAAGGCAACAGTGTGCAGAGCAGTGAGGAAGGTAACCCTCGCACTGAAACGCCTGTTACCTGTAATGGTTGTGTTCCCCGGACACAAACCTGTTCGAACCATCAAAGAGGAATTCTACAGGATTGCAGGTGATGTGATGTTGAAATCATATATTCTGTTATTTTAAATTATGATATAGGCCTACATTCTGCTGCGGCCTCAGAATGGGGTCAGTAGCTTAATTATCTGTCACAAATCCCTATCACTGTGCCAACTCACAATGAAGGGGACTATGTAAATACAAAATCCTTTCATAGCATCAATGTCCAGGTATGTAACCTACCATCTTAAAAAAACTATACATGAAAATGTATACATTACAACTAACTCATGTCATTCTGCACTGTAAAGATCATATGTGATGCAGCATCCATCATTATGAATGTGGAGGCCAAGTGGCCTGGCTCGGTGCATGATTCCCGGATCTACCGGGAGTGTAGTCTGAGCAACAGATTTGCACGTGGTAAGGAAGCTAAAGCTTTGTACAGATGTTCTTTGTCTCCCATTTTTAATGCACTTAAATGTGTCCTCTATATTTACAGGAGAGTTTGATGGCTACCTGCTGGGGGATCGAGGCTATCCATGCCAGCCCTCTCTGTTGACCCTTACCCTGACCCTGAGCCAGGGCCCCAACAACATTTTAATGTGGCCCACTGCAGGACTGGAGCTCGGGTTGAGATTGACTATAGGCATACTCGAATCCCGGTTCCAGTGCCTGCGTAAGCTCAGGGTCACCCCAGAGAGGGCATGTGACATCATTGTGGCATGTGTTGTTCTCCATAATATTGCAATTTTTAGAGGAGAGCAACACCCTGCCGTACAAATCAATGATCCCGAGGATGAGCATTCCATCCTGGCTGATGAGGATGGAAGGGCGGTTAGGGACCTAATCGCCCAAAATCTTTTTTGATTTAAAAAAATAAAAACAAATGCATATGTGATTTGGTTCTTCTTTATTCCCTAACGCCTGGTTCACACAGGAAGCGCTTTCTGCTGCGCTCTGACATGCCGGTCAGACATCGACTGAGCCCGGTAGTGCTCGGCCGTTTCCGTCTGCCCTCAGTTTTCCACACTTAGGAGTGCTTTAAAAATGGGTAAATCACTATTTATTTACGTTTTTTTTTCGTCATACATAAATTAAATATTGACAGCATCTTCAAGTATTGTTTTAAATTATTATATAGGGGTAAACGACGAACAAATTGGGGAGTCTGTTGACTCCGTTGTATGTATAGCCTTGTTAGCTCGAGGCTATTGACTGTATCGTAATAAAGCCCCCCTCCTTTGTCTCAATAACGTCACTGAATCTCTGCAGCTCTCCCTCCGTGTGTGTGTGTGTGTGTGTGTGTGTGTGTGTGTTTGTGTGTGTGTGTTCATCGGTAAAAAAATAGACCGACAAGCAACATCGTCAATCCTTTTCTAATTTATTGAAATTTACTTTATTTTGAAAATTGACCGGATTCTCTCGCATCTCCTTCCTGACTTCCTGTCTGGTCCGATCTGCTCTGCTGAGCTTTACATCGGCGCGCGCGGCTCACGCCGAAAATAGAGAGAAGCGGAGCAGCCGCGCTCCAGAGCGCGAGCCGTTCCGCGCACGGCCTGTGTGAACAGTCTCATAGGTTAACATGGGCGCCGATCTGAAACTCTGTGCGCTGCGCTTCCGTTCCGCGCGCGGCGCTTCCAGTGTGAACCAGGCGTAAGAGTACAAAAGCAACAGTCAGGTTTTGTAATATAGTTCCAACCATTAACATATTTCACATATTCACCATGACAATGCATCCACCTCAACTGGTGTTCCAGTAATAGAATTTCCAGGTCTGTTTTTGCAATCTGCTGATCCAGATAGACCATTTCTTTTTCTGTTTTTTTAATACTGGTCATGAGGTGCACCCTGTACAACTCCTTAACCAGGAGCTGGGAAACATGGACAACATTTAATTCCTACAGTTCTACATACAGATTTAACATGGTATTGACCGAAAATCTCACTTTGTCAAGCTGTGCCGTTGAGGTTGATGGACCCTCCTCCTGGTGATGCCCAGCCATGTTCTGTTGAAGGACAAGAATGAGCTAGTCCATTATTGATGCTCATCTATTCAGTGTACATGTCAAACTCCAAATTCCACTCTAGAATGTAAATGAATGGGCACTGCCAGTAGCTATATATTAAGACACACTTCAGGAGGACCCTCTGGATCTCTCCCTGTGGCAGCAGACAGTGTTTCTTCATCCTCCTCCTCCTCCTCCTGTAATGCAGGAAAATATACTGTTTCAGAATACTATGAACTACCATCTGAGGCATCTGAGTATGGAAGACTTACAGCTACAGGGTTTGTTTCTGTCGGAGGCTGAACCAGGCAGATGACACCATCCACAACTGTTGGGTGGGTGGATATATATTTGTTAAAAATTAGGCTATATATATTTATATATTAGTTTTATTTTTTTAAAAGACATAAGTGTATACTTGCATCTGATGTAGGGACTTGTGTCCTGGGGGGTGACAGGCTCAGATGAGCTTCCCCCGGGGATGCCTTCAGCCACAGGGCGACCCCTGTTTTGGCAGAGGGCCAGCTCCTCAGCCTCTGTCAGAGGTCGTGGAGGTGGCCATCCACCCGTTTTTCGGGCCTCTGCCTTCTTTCCGTTGGCTGAGCAGAAGTCAATGTTTATCTTAAAATAGTATTGTAATCAGTGTTGGTGTAGGCTACAGCGTCACATTTTAAATGACTTCAATAGGTCTAAAATATAAATGTGTTTGTATCAAGTGTTAATCCACGAAGTGTAGAATTAAGTGAGAGGACGTTGAAAAACCACATTTTGTTTGGTGTTTAAATTATTATTTGAAGTAGCCGCTGAATTAATATTTTAGTTTAAATTAATATTGACTTTGTCTAATAGCCTAAGTCCATTTAAAATAATTAAATTCAAATCAAAGTGAGGTGCAATCACAGCCTAGCAAAATATGCCTTACCTTTTTGAATTATGTTTTTATGTTTCATTTTGAGCTGCTTCCAAGTCCTTTTTCCACCCGTTGGATTGCACCTAAATGAAAATCAGATTTCATTCCTACTTATATTCATAACTATAGACTATGCTTCGATCTTATATGTTATGTCAATGGAATAGTACATTCAAACTTACACATTGACTCACGCAGCAATTTTCTCCCATGCCATCTCTCTCTCCTATGCTGCTGCAGCCATGTTGAATTTGCGGCGAAAAATGTTCTCATACTGGCCGTAGGCCAGCATAAGGACCTCCAACTCCACCGGGGTGAAATAAGTTGACCGTTTTTTCTCTGTTGTCATGGTGACTCATGGTATCGGGGCTCCATAGATGATGGCTTTTTATAGCGGTTGTGCACGTGCGTAACTCCAGGTTATCATACTCAGAGTTGATTGAACTAATTAAGATCAGCTGTTCTGGAACCGGATACTCAGAGTCTCCCATCTCAGAGTAAGTCAACTCAGAGTTCAGGGATAGACTCAGAGTATGTTGAACCTGCTTTCTGGAATTCCCCCCCAGGTCACAATTCCAGACTAGATAAACAAAAACAACAAACAAACAGATAACGAAAAGATAGCTGGGGAACAAAGAGAGGATGACCCTATATAACAGGATCACAAATCTGGTCAGCGAGAGCTGGACATCATTGGCAGTCCACTCCCAGCAACTGCAGTGCTGTTCTGATACTGGTGTTGTCTTTATAATATACTCCTCATATACAAGCAAGCCAGTGTCACGAAGCCTCCTTCTGCATCTACACATCGCGGACAGACCAGATACAACATAAGGCAGTGGCTTTGTAGGCTTCTTTGACGTTGGCATACAGCAGATCCAGGGTTTTGTTTTCTCTGGTAGGACAGTTCACAAACTGTGTGAATCCAGTCAGTTGAGAGGAGAGGGTGACATGATTGAAGTCTCCTGATATTATTAGTGCCTCAGGGTGTTAAGTCTGTAGCCTGGCAACACTATTATGCAAAAGATCGCATGGAATTTCTTCAGTTGATTTGGGTGGGATGTAAACAACTATTGTAATGATATGACTTAATTCTCTTTGAATGTAATATGGCCGAAGAGCAACTGCCAACAGTCCAATATCTGGACAACACAACTTCTCAATGGAGATTGATGGAAGAAAGGGTTAATATCTCCACCTCCTAGCATTCAGCTTTGCCTATACCTTTGCATCAGCACAGCAACCACAATAACACCTCCTGATTATCTTGAAGACTTAAAACAGGCAACTGGACTGTGTAGAGTTGAGAAGACGTTTCGCCTCTTATCCAAGAAGCTTCCTCAGTTCTAAAAGTGCTAGTGTCAGGAGCAGATATTTATCTTACTGGAGAAGGGGGACAGTTAACGACTGGGTGGAGTTGAAAAGAATGGGTCGTAGAAACCCATCTCTGGGTGTGTGTCCCCCCAAGTCGTTAACCTGAAAGGGTCGTTAGCGACTCCTGTCATGTGACCACGTGACTCATGCCACCTGGGTCATGTGGTTCCAGGTGTGAATGTTTGTGGAGCTTCCTGGGGAGAGAGCTGAGAACTGCATTGTAAGTGCCAGAGAGATTGTGCCTGAGTCCACCCCCTCTGTTCAGAGAAGGTTTCTCCAGCCTGGTAAAGATGGCTTCTTTAACTCCTCTTTCAAACCATCTGTCTTCTCAAGCCAACACCTGTACATTGCTGTCCTCAAAAGAGTGACCCGTATCTTTCAAGTGAAGGTGGACAGCTGAGTCCTGACCTGAGGAAGTGGCTCTCCTGTGTTGAGCCATGCGCTTGTGAAGCGGTTGTTTAGTTTCCCCAATGTACAGGTCAGAGCATTCCTCGCTGCACTGGACAGCATATACCACATTACTCTGTTTATGTCTCGGTGTTTTGTCCTTGGGACGGACTAGCTTCTGCCTTAGTGTGTTACCAGGCTTGAAATGAACAGGAATGTGGTGTTTGCCAAAGATCCTCTTGAGTTTTTCAGACAGGCCTGCAACGTAAGGGATTACAGTGCTCTTGCGTCTCTCCTCCCTTTCCTGTTCAGTGTTATTTCTCTTTCTGTTCTTCACAAAGGCCCACTTAGGGTATCCACAGGTTGTCAGGGCATTTTTGATGTGCTTCTGTTCCTTTTCCTTACCTTCTTTCTTCGTGGGAATATTCTCAGCCCGGTGGTTGAGTGTTCTGATGACACCCAGTTTGTGCTGCAGAGGATGGTGGGAATCAAAAGTAGATATTGATCCGTGTGTGTTGATTTCCTGTACACTTCAACGTTGAGACACCCATCTGCCTCCAAGTGTACAGCACAGTCCAAAAAGGCCAACACATTGTCCTTGACATCTTCACGGGTGAACTTGATGTTGCTGTCCACTGTGTTGATTGGTCGGTGAAGGCCTCTACTTCATGTGTTTTGATCTTAACCCAGGTGTCATCCACATATCTGAACCAGTGGCTAGGAGTGGCTCCCTTGAAGGAGGTTAGGGCCTTCCTCTCTACCTCTTCCATGTACAGGTTAGCTACTATTGGAGAAACCGGGGAGCCCATCGCGCATCTGTGTTTCTGTCTGTAATGGCGCTCTCTGAACTGGAAATAGGTGGTGCTGAGGCAGATGTCCAATAAGGAGCAGATGTGGTCAGGGGTTAAGTTGGTTCTGACTTCCAGTGTGCTGTCCTGTAAGAGGCGTTGTCTTACTGCTTGGACTGCCTCTGTTGTTGGAATACTTGTGAAAAGTGATGTGACATCATAGGAAACCATGGTTTCATCTGGGTCCAACCTGATGTCCTTGATTTTCTCGGCAAAGTCCTGTGAGTTTCTGACGTGGTGAGTGGTGTGGCAGACAAGAGGAGCTAGGATGGTGGCCAAATGTTTTGGCCACCATGTATGTGACTGAGTTAATGCTGCTGATGATGGGTCTAAGGGGCGCCCCTTCCTTGTGTATTTTTGGTAATCCATAAATGCACGGGACAGCTTCCCCTGGGTACAGCCGGTAATAGAGTGGGTGGTCGATAACTCCATCCTTTTCGAGCTGTTGAAGTGCACTGATAACTTTCTTTTTGTAGCTGTTGGTGGGATCCCGTTTTAGAGTTTCATAGGTGGCAGTGTCACTGAGAAGACTTGTTACCTTGTCGTGGTAATCCCTGGTGTTGAGTACCACAGTGCATCTCCCCTTATCTGCAGGCAGGATGGTGATGGTGGTCCATCAGAACTTGGTTGTAGGGACAAAACTGACAGCCACACAGACACCAACATGCAAGAAAAGTGGGTGAAGAATTTGTCAGACAGGGTTCTCACTCAGCCGGAAAAGGAAGTCCTTTCATAAACTCATAAACTTTATGAGTTTTTTTTTTTTCAAATAATTAACTCAGAATTTGATGGCTGCAACACGTGCCAAAGTAGTTGGGACAGGGGCATGTTCACCACTGTGTTACATCAGCTTTCCTATTAACAACACTCAAACATTTGGGAACTGAGGAGACTAATTGTTGAAGCTTTGAAGGTGAAATTCTTTCCCATTCTTGCTTGATGTACAGCTTCCATTTTCCTTCCATTTTTTTGCTTCATAAGAGACTTTATGTCTTAAATGGGCCCTCAAAGGGTTAAAATTTTTATTTTCAAAGAAACATTTGCTAGTTTTGAACAGGGTAGAAGTAAAATAAGAGATGTATGAAAACAAATCTGAAAAAAATATTAATCCAATATGATTTTACAGCAGACAAAGTAGTTTGGGCCACTGGGAGGCGCCAAAGGCAGTTTTTCATTAAATCTGATGCTACAGAAAAACTTAAAATGCTTCTAAGTCAATTATATTACTTATCTCTGACATATTCAAGACTTTGATACCCTGTAAGAGATTACCAGTTTCTGATTATGTTTTATAAAAAAAATTGGTCATTTTCCTTAAAATTTTGCTATATTAGTGACTTTTTGTCTTAAATTGGCACTTAAAGGGTTAAAAAAAAAATTTCAATGAAACATTTGCTAGTTTTGAGGCAAAATATTAATCCAATATGACTTTACAGCCGACAAAAAAGTGGCTTTTAACAGCCACTGAGGGACTTTAGAGGGAAGTTTATTTGAAGGTGCTGGAAGGGTTAAACCAAGCATTCAATGATATTAATCATAGTGAGTGAGTATCAGATCTGACTCTTTTACCAGCCAAAAGTATAATTTAGATCAAATAATCAGAGATCCGAGGTCTCCTCTGCTTGGAGACCCCACGACCCCTCCTCTTTCTCCTCACACACACACGCCAGAGACACTCTAAGTGTGAGAAGATAAAACCAGTACAGTGGGGTTGCTCACTCTCTTGTTGTTTTTTCTCTCTTCTATTCTTGCTCTTCTACTCTTAAGCTCAACTTTTCGTTTTCTCTTAACTCTTACTACTTAGTCTTACTTTTTCTTAGTCTTCTAAGTTTTACGCCACGTGTTGATTCACGCTGATTTTCCTTTAACATCATCTTAGTTCAAGTTTTGACTCTTCAACTTTTTGTGCACATAGCAGTTCAAGATTAAGCCTTTGATTGATTTTTCTTTAATTTCGCGAAGCCATTTTTGAAAGTTTCCTCTGGTCATCAAGCCTCGTTTTTTTCTGAGTTATCTGCGTGATTTCAAAGTCACCTCTGAACGCAACCCAGCAGGCCCAGGTCATCCTCTGTGCCAGAGTTTTGAGTGAGACCAAAGAAGCGTCCAAACGAGCATCCACAGAAAATTTCTTTCAGAGACTCCAGGAAGAGGTCTGTAATAAAGAACAAAGTCCTCATAGCAAAGAAGCAGCAAAGAGACCCACTTCAGATCCTCATCCATCAAGATAGAAACACAGTTGAACAGCACCGGGCACAGCCCCTCCAATTAAAACAACACGGAAATGGAAACAGCCAACGCAACCATCGCCAATCTCAAACAAGATATCTATAGACTCATGGCAGAGCTAAAAGCCAAATCGGACCTACTCACCGCGTGCATGAGCGTCGCTCTCAATCATCTCAATCTCAATCTCGATCAAACCCGCCGGATCAGCTCCCTCCAGACCTCCCTCCAGGAAACACTTCCCTGGGACCCTGCAAGCCCTCGGCCATCATCGAGCTCCACACCGCATGCTGGCCGGGCCTGGAGCGAGGTCGTTGTCTGCGGTAAGGGAAAAAGCCGCCACACCGATGGCTCCCCTATCCGCATCGCCCTGACAAGTCGCGTCGAGACCCTACCACAGGCCACTGTGGATCCGGTCGTCAACCCGACGCAGGAGGAGAACTGCAACACTATCGCAGCTGGCATTCTGGGCGAGACGTGGCCTCCTCCTCCAGCCTGCTAGCTGCCCAGACGCCCGACCATGGCTCGCCCGACGCCTCGGACCGCCCTGCAGCTGCACCTCCGACCACCACTAAACCTGGGCCGGCCCCCTCTGGTCCAGCTACCTCCTGGTCGCCATTGGACGTGGGCGTGAAGACCACCTCCCCACCAACGTGCAACGGCCCCCGGGTGCTGCCCCGCGCTAGCAGGGGGGACTCCTCCCCGTCAGTGCCCGGCGGCGCCCGGACTGCACCCACTGGTGAGCCCTGAGCCCAGCCCTCTGAAACTCGCTTGTCGGCTGCCACCACCACCAGTCTCTCCAGACCGCGACTTGGACTCCTGAAGGATGCAGTACGCTGCCACTCCACTGGTCACTCCGGCAGTTTCTGGCAGCCTGAGCTGGAGGTTCACTCACCGCTGCGTCCTCGTCATGCCACCAACACCCCCCCACAAAACGGGACTGAGCCTAAACAGCCCGAGGCGGCTCGACACACCCCTGAAAACCCAGCCGCAAACTCCATTCAGCAGACATCAACTGGCCCACCGCACGCACCGCTCTTTCTGCCGACTACAGCCATCATCGGTGACTCCACAATCCAAGATATCATTTTTTTTTCAATGCCATCACTCTGCCTTTTCCCGACGCTACGCTAACAGACATCACAGACAAAATGCCCTCCCTTCTCCACACACTTCCCTCCTCAGTCCACGGTACCATCCTCCATGTCGGTGTAAACGACACCTCCCGACACCAATGGGACAAAACAAAGCAGGACTTCAAAAAACGTCAACAAAATCAGTATTCTTTAGTGGACCCCTGCCAACTGTCCTCCTGCACAAGGAGCGTCGCACCGTCAACAATTCATCCATATCAACCAGTGCTCCTCCTCCACCGCCCCACTCCCCCAAGGTATCCCCCAGGGATCGGTGCTTGGTCCCCTACTCTTCACCATCTACCTACTCCCCCTTGGCAACATCATCCGGCAACATGGACTCAACTTCCACTGCTACGCCGACGACATACAGCTATACATCTCCTCCCGGTCCATCTCCTCCACCACCATTGCCACCGTCACCTCCTGCCTCAACGCAATAAAAACTTGGATGCACCACAGTTTTCTCAAACTCAATAGTGACAAATCAGACCTCATAATCATCGGTCCCAAAACCCTCACCAAAACTACCTCAGACATCTCCATCCACATTGACCAATCCCATATCACCCCCTCTTTACTTGTCCGCAACCTAGGTATCCTTCTCGACCCTAACCTCACTTTTGACCACCATATCTCCCAACTTGCCCGCTCCGCTTTCCTTCACCTGAAAAACATTGCAAGACTCCGACCCTTTCTCTCCCCATCTGCTGCCGAAACCTTAATACATGCTTTCATCACTACCAGACTGGATTACTGCAATAGCCTCTTCTACGGTCTCCCCTCCACCACCCTCAACAAACTTCAACACATTCAGAACTCTGCCGCCAGACTTCTCACCCGCACCCGCCCATATGACCACATCACCCCCGTACTCCGTCAACTCCACTGGCTCCCTGTTGCCTACCGAATACAATTCAAGATATTTATATTTTAAAAAATGCACATACAGAGGTGTACTTGGGTGTATAAACTGTACAGTACGCTGTTAAGGTAGAGAACATTATATTTTCGGGGCAGCAAATATTCCGAATCAGAGGGCTATTGTTTTCGGCTTATTTGAATAGCCTGAATAAAATCATTAAAGGCTCACGCTTTTGAATCTATCCATTGGTGAGGAAAACTTGGATTATTTCGCCTTGTTGTGTACTTTCAACCGCTCCCGTCAGGGGGTGCATTCTACGGCAGGGGTGCATTCTATGGCATGACACCTGACGTGTCTCTGTGTCCTTTCTCCGTCCTGCTGCTGCTGCGGTGGCACGGCTGACCAGATGATTTATTTTAGTGATCAGATGAGTTATTCACTTCAAAAATTTGAACAAAAAAATTAAATAAAATAGAATAACCTTTCACTCAAAATTACCTGTTTATCTGATTTCCTCACATCGTTAAGATTCTCTAAATATTCAATCCGGAGTCAGGCCCACATACGAATATTATAATATTTAGTTTTGTGAGCCAACCATCTGCGCTCATATGAGACAGTGTGGAGGACGCGCTCTGCAGCGCTTACAGTGACACTTGTTGAGGAGCTGCCTTCTGTCGCCATCGTGTGGCATTGCTGTCTTCAGACATCTCTTAATCTCTTTGACTACTGCACAAAAATTGTTATACGCCTCACCAGTGGCGGATTTAAAGGTGAGCAGAGGAGCTGATGTTATTGGTCAATACAGGTCTTGGCTGTGTTAAGCCCACTTCACACCCTCTCTCCTCCCGCCCTACGACTTACGCCGCTGGGAGGAGCTGAGTTAGGGAGGGGGGATACTTACGCCAGGCTGCGCTGCCCACCAAAATACCAAATTGTGCTTGGGAACGCCTTGTCAGTGCAGCGGACCTGACTTACGCCATGCCACGTCTTGGGCGAGGCACAAAAATAGAGCCCCTTAAGTTTCTGAGATCATTTAATTAGTAGTCAGAGTTGTCTTGGTTGCCTCTCACCATACTGTCATGCACAGTCACTCACTATATGAGGACTGATCAAGGGAGACTTTCTTAATATATGTGTCATATTTGGTTCATTTACTATTTCTGATGTTTTCACTAAAGGGTTGGCCCTTGCCAGTAAGTTATTAACGAACAAGTAGCTTCTCTAACAACCCAATATGCTGCTCCTTGTGTTGCCAGGTCAAAGGCACTTCTGCTTGACTACTTGGCCAATGCAGGACGTCTGAGGCCTCTACGGTCAATCAGAGACAGGGATCTGCTGGTACCACACATTGTCATGTTTCAGGTCATCCACAGGGTTCAAGGTATATTTCAAAGGTATTCAGTGTTGGTTCACACTCAGTTTAGTCAGAATGTGAAATAGAATTTTACCCATAGAACAAATGGACTAAGTTCCTGGAACAAACTGACAGTGTTGAGGTTAAGCTAGAACAAGTAATTCTGAATGAATTCAACAAATAAATTATCCTTTCTTTACAGGTTTCATGAAGGACTGAAAACTTTAGGTATTCTGGAGAAAATCCAGAAACATCCAGACAGCTTTCGCCTCCTATTCTGCTATGAGCCGAGCACACTGACTGCTGACCAGGTAGATGATCTTTTCACCATCTGTCACCAGAAGGGAGCAACAAGAGAGTTGCAGAGAAGGTGGTGGTTACCTTCTGGAGAGACTATCTTCAAGATGTACAAGGTGTACAATGCTTGATTAAAATCCTTGATGGTTAAGTACTAATACCAAACCACCAAATGAAAAATTGTTGCTGATATATTTGATAGACACCAATGCATTATGATTTCATGATTGGTTGATTCTGTTCTGTTTTATAGAAGAAGAGGGACCATCTAAACTACTAGATATTGGCCTTTGCAACTGGAGCATCTGTAGTCTCTCCTATTGGCTTTTCCCCAAGTCCCTCTGTTGAGTTCATTCATAAGGGTGATGATGACTTCTCTTTAACAAGGTCTTAACAAAACATAAAAGAAAAAAAAAACACATTAACATCATCTCCTTACTGAAATATATGCTAGAGTGAGGAATACACACCAATTCCATAGTTCCCATCATTTTCCACTGGATTCACTTGCTTAATCATGTTCATTGTGGTCTCATTGATTGATATGTTAATGTCTGGAATTGTAACATTATTTGTTAGTGTGAAGTCCTGGCAAAGGCTTGTGTTCATTGACGTCAAAGTGGGTATCCATATGAATAATGTCACTTATAACCGGTTGCATTCCAATGTTGTTTATGACACCTGAATGCCAGGGCAGAAGAGGTGTTTGTGCCCCCCTTCTGTGGAGAGGCCATAATTGTTCCATTGGTTAATACATTCTGTCACTGCCTGTTGAATTCTTGGCGAATAAACGTAATGGAGACAAAAAAGCTGCAATTTATTCAATGAGTCAAGTATGCCGTGTTCTTCCATAAAGTTTCCATTCTCTGATTATGGACTGAAACACCTGTAATAACTCTGTCTAGTCCCCTTCTTTCCAACATAAAATGTTCAACAAGTATAATTTCCATGCCATGATCACATCTGACCCTTGCAGGCAAACTAAAGTTCTCAATGCCCTTCAAATATAGTGACAAAACACTTGAGGATAAGCACCACAGGTATATAATCGTCCAGCTGAAGCCATCAACACAGCCATGCATGACCAGATGCCACCTAACCAGCTTGTGGTTTCCATTGAAATGCATGTTGGGAGACCAGAAGCAGTATTATTACACTTGTGCACTAATGGGATAGATATAACAGCTTAGAACATCAGAATTTTATATATCTACAATTAGAATATAACAACAGGATTATGAAACTAGATAAGTACAAGAACAATATTAAAACACTGTCATGGTGTGTTTTCCAGCACAGTGAGTACTGTATAGTAACTTTTTGTTATGCTGGACTTTATTGTACATTATTTTTTGTGGTGTGGCATTGCACCCTTACTTTACAAATGATCTTGACAAGGCTTTTACACCATGAGCTTACCATAATTGGTTGGGGGACTGAACACTGTAGACCCTCCCCCTTACACTGTGACGGCGTCTAAATGATCACCCAATGGGATCAACCCGATATAGACTGTCTCTGACCCGCCAACATTGGATCCTTGAATCACGTGATCTCAGGCTTCCAAGGACATAAGTTTCCCCTGCATTAGGAGTATTCTGTAATATTACAGTCACAGGGCTATCCGGTTCTTGATTTGACATAACTGCATATCTTAATGGTTCAACTCCCAGTAGTTGTCTGTGTCTGTGCAGAGTTCTTCTACTAATCCCAAAGCAGGATGCAATTCTCTGCCATGATAGCCAATGGACAAACAGTGAGAAATCTGTTCACTGGTTATGGTGTGTCTCGGACGGCCGGAGTGACCAGTGAGGGTTGTCGGGGGTAACAATATATTTGAATTAGAAGACCTCTGTCTGGTGTCATGTTCATGCAGCAAATTGCGAAAACAACTGTGCAGTGATCCCAGTAAGCGACTGATGTCCCTATTCCAAGGATCATATCTGGACACCGCCTCATGAATAGCAGATATTGTTTTTGTGTGGTCATCAAGCCTTTCCTGGTAGAAATCATTGGGCACATTTCTCTTAAGTGACTCCATACATTGCAAAGCACTTGTAAAAAATGTATTACATCTTATCCATTGCATTTTACATCATTAAATAGAGTTTGCAATAATAAACAAAAAGGATTGGATGAAGATTCATTTTAAGCACCATCACCTTCACTTTAAACAGCAATCCCTACAGCAATTATCCACCCTGTAGACAGTATGTGAGTCCTCAAAATTCTCCAAAGAAGAAAAACAACCTACACTTCCTCTTTCCCACCTTCCTGTTACACTAAAACACCTTCCTGTTACACCAAAATTTCAGAAGTGTTTGTAAAATGTTTCAGTAGTGTGTGAGAGAGCATTTCAGTAGATGTATGTAAGAGCATTTCAGTAGTGTACATGAAGGCATTTCAGTAGTGAGTGTGTGAGAGCATTTCAGTAGTGTGTGTGAGAGTGTTTCAGTGGTGTATAATTTATGTTACGACCCAGCCTAGGGGTATGCTGGACGTAACATAAAGTGCTCCTTCCTTTTCCTAGGGAGGGTTACCCACAAACAAAATGTGCTGATGAAAACCATACACAGGTCTGGGTGGGAGTCGAGACAAAGGAATGAGAGAGAGAGCTCCTCCAGCAGTCACCCTTTTCACAGCTTCCCTCCTCAGCTGCTGTCCAATCAGGCCACAGTCCTCTCCTGAAAAAACAAAACAGACACAGGAACAGCACCTACCACAGGTAGGGAGGGCTACCCACAAACAAAATGTGCTGATGAAAATAAAACAGGAAACCTATGACCCCTGGTCATAACACCCCCCTACCTAAGATCAAACATTTATTCCCTCTAAATAAAGGTTTGAATCACCGAAACATCAAAATTACAATAGCACCCTAAACACAACACAAGGCACCCCTTAACAACCTACCCGAGACAATGTATCTGCTACTAGATTATCCACCCCTTTAATGTGGCGGATGTCAATATTGTAGTCCTGTAACAGTAAGGACCAACGCATAAGGCGCTGGTTGTGGTTGCGCATGCGTGACAAAAACACAAGGGGGTTATGGTCAGAATAGACGATAACTGGAACGGGACTGGAACCGACATAAACTTTGAAATGCTGTAAAGCAAACAGTAAGGCGAGGGCTTCCTTTTCTATGGTGCTGTACTTAAGCTGATGCTTATTGAACTTCTTAGAGAAGTAGCACACGGGATGGTCGATGCCTTTATCATCTTCCTGCAAAAGGACCGTGCCTGCACCATAAGCACTGGCATCTACCTCAACCTTAAAGGGATGGTCAAACACAGGTGCTGACAAAACGGGTGCACTGCACAGAAGAGCCTTGGCGGAAGCAAAAGACTCCTGGCACACGTCAGTCCACTCGAACTTCACAGCAGGGCTAACTAAGCTAGTGAGGGGTGCAACAACACTGGCAAAGTTCCCACAGAAGCCCCTGTAGTACCCACACATGCCCAGAAAACGCCGGAGTTGCCGATGTGTTTCTGGCACAGGAAAGTCTAGGATGGCTTGGACTTTGGCCGACAGGGGGCGCACTTGTCCCTGTCCTACCTGCTTACCCAAGTAGGTGACCACAGCTTTTCCAAATTCACACTTGGCTAAGTTCAATGTGAATGAAGCAGTTTCCAACCTTCTGAACACTTCTCCTAGGATGTTAACATGCTCAGGCCAGGTGGAAGAGTAACAGACAATATCATCCAGATAGACTTCACAATTCTCCACACCTGAAAGGACTCTATTCATCAGCGGTTGGAAAGTGGCCGGCGCATTCCTCAACCCAAAAGGCATCACGGTGTACTGCAAGAAGTGATCAGGGGTGACAAAAGCAGAGATGTCGGATGCACGTTCCGTAAGGGGCACCTGCCAATACCCTTTAAGAAGGTCTGACTTCGCACATAGGACATGAACACACTTTTATGAGTAAGCGCAAACTCATCAGACAGGACTGCTGCCTCAGCCAGAGACGCAACCTTCTGTTCATTCAGATAGGTGACCATGCGCTCAGGTAGACACTTTTTAAAATCCTCCAGCAGCACCAGCTCACGCAGCTTGGCAAAATCATTAACTTTACTGGACTGACACCACTTATCAAAAAGAGACCCTTTATCTCGAGCGAACTCGACATAGGTCTGGTTTTCACTTTTAACACATGATCTGAATTTTTGTCTATAAGCCTCAGGCACAAGCTCATAAGCCCTCAGCACAGTAGCTTTAACAATGTCATAGTTTAAGCTCTGCTCAAGTGTGAGGCTGGCACAAACCTCCTGGGCTTTACCCACCAACTTGCACTGGAGCAACAGGGACCAAACGTCCTTTGGCCAATTAAGAGCAGCTGCTATCCTTTCAAATGCACTGAAGTACGAGTCCACCTCAGACTCTCTGAAGGACGGAACAAGAGCAATGTGTCTGCTCACATCGAAACTGCTTGCAGATAAGTGTGGGGTTTGCTGACTGGGTTGACTGGGGGTGCTAGGCAGGCGTTCCAGCTCCAAAGCTCTCACCCTCAGATGCATGGCCTGCACCTCCATCTCCTTCAGGCGGAGGGTCAGTCTGAGCTCCTCAGCCGACATCCCCAGCAACACAGGAGGTCAGAAAGGGCAGCAGTGACTGGTGGAACTGTCTGTGGGGGTGCCACATCAGCCTTCCCTGCATCTCCTAAGGGCAGCAAACCTCTATCCACAAGCTGACCAGTTATAAGCTGAAGCAGCTCCTCCTTCTTAGGATTCGCTGCTACATCAATATTATATTGATTTGCAATGAGTAACAAATCAACTTTTCTACATTTTTGTAGCTGCTCTAAAGTGGGATTCTTCACAAAATTTTCCAAATCAAACTCCATCGTGCCAAAAAATATATACCAACCAGAATTACCTTAAATACACAACACTAATACACAAGCCCAAGTAACAATTGATCCCGGACGAGCCCCCAATTTATGTCACGACCCAGCCTAGGGGTATGCTGGACGTAACATAAAGTGCTCCTTCCTTTGCCCCAACTCCCCAAGAAAACCGACAAGCAACCAGAATTTGCAGTCTTAAATGAATTTATTGCACAACATAAATGGTAGTCGACTTCAGGGTGGGCACAGGCCAAAACAACAAACAAAACCTCTTTTATTTAAAGCTATCTTACCTAACAAAAAGAAATTGTATTAAATAAAATACAGGGGGTCTTACCTGCCTCCCTAACCCAAATCACGAGAAAAGTTTGTGAAATCAAATAGCTGCCCACCCCTACCTACCAGACTGCTCTTGAAAAAACTTAAGCTATTTGTCATGAAAGACAAATCAAAGTTCACAAAGTTTCCACTATTTTAACACAAAAGGAGCCTCCACAAAACACAGGTCTGGGTGGGAGTCGAGACAAAGGAATGAGAGAGAGAGCTCCTCCAGCAGTCACCCTTTTCACAGCTTCCCTCCTCAGCTGCTGTCCAATCAGGCCACAGTCCTCTCCTGAAAAACAAAACAGACACAGGAACAGCACCTACCACAGGTAGGGAGGGCTACCCACAAACAAAATGTGCTGATGAAAATAAAATAGGAAACCTATGACCCCTGGTCATAACAAAGCATTTCAGTAGTGTTTATGAGAGCATTTCAGTAGTTTTAAAAGAGTGATTCAGTAGTGTGTGTAAAAGTGTTTCAGTAGTGTGTGCGAAAGCGTTTCAGTAGTGTGTGTAAAAGCGTTTCAGTAGTGTTTATAAGAGCATTTCAGCAGTGTACATAAAAGCATTTCAGTAGTGTTTATGAGGGAATTTTATTTGTATGTGTGAGAACAAAACATTTCATTAGTGTGTGTGAGAGCGTTTCAGTAGTATGTGTGGGAGCATTTCAGAAGTGTGTGTGAGAACACAACAAATTTATCAGTGTGTGTGAGAGCGTCTCAGTAGTGTGTGAGAGTGTTTTAGTAGTGTGTCTGAGAGCGTTTCAGTATTGTGTGTGAGACCACAACATATCAGTAGAGTGTGAGAGCATTTTACTTGTAAGTGTGTGAGGTTTTTACTATAGTATGTGAATAGGTTTTGTTCTATATGTGTGTGAATGGTAATCCTGAATAATGTCCCTGAAGGCCCCTCATACTGTCAATCCCTATTGTGCACTTCATGATTTGGTGGTCTTGTTCCCGGCTTTTACTCGTGTATTCTGTCTATTTTTAGAATATTATGGGCATCGTGTTATTTTCATTTCAAATTTCAATGATTTTAATATTGTATCTGCTTTCACTTTTGCTGTAACTTGGCTCTAAGCATCTTTTCTTGTCTGACAAGAAGATTTTTTTTTTTTTTTTTGTTAAATAAATAAATTCAAATTTAAAATTCAAATTCTATGCTGCCGGCGGGGACAAAAAGGTCACTGCGCCAGCTGATTCTGTCAACACCTCCCACTATTGCACCGCCACTCTCAGCTTGGTGTGCTTCAGTCTACAAATATGCCAAACTTGTGGAAGAGAACATGTAGTTTTGCAGCCCCCACAGCATGGAACTCCTTGCAGACTGAGCTGAAACTCCCAGAGCTCATCTCACTTGGGGCTTTTCGCTCCATGATAACGGACAGACAGCATGAGACAACCTAACAGTGCTTGTGCTTCTAAATTGTTATTTATCTTAAAAAGTGACTGTACTTTATCACAAGACACCTTGAACTCCCGAACAATTTGAAATTTAACTGTTTACTGTCATCTTTCAATCAGGTTTTATTTTGTTTTGTTTTTCATGATGTGCTGCTGATGTCTTGGCCAAGTCACCCTTGTGAAAGAGATCTTGATCTCAATGGCTTTTATCTGGTTAAATAAAAAGGTTTAATTAAATAATAGTACTAATAATTTGAAAAAAAAGGAGATGAGCACAACAGACGTTTCACATATTCAAATGCTTGTTGGCATTCTGAAGACCAACCAAATTTTGCCTTGGCCTTAAGACGGTCTGTAAAAGGGAACACAACTGTTGAAAAGTTTCTGCAGGGGCCTCGATAATAACCCCAAAAAACACTGCAACTCCTTTTTTCATTGTTGGCTGTGAGAATTTGGAGACTGCCATCACATCAACAGTAGCAACCTGACCTTGCCCTACCATACGACCCAGATAGGTGACTGCCCCCATGGGAACTTGCATTTGGAGGCAAAGGGGGACACAGATGCACCAAATGTGCCAGTGGCACCAAATGCACCAGAAGCACCGGATAAAGGTAATTGTAATCTGTTTAAAATAGTAAAAATGATGATTGACAAACATTTGGAATGCAATTCACAATAGTTTACTTGATTCAAAGTTAAATATTATTTCTTTTCAATTCCTGGGTATTCCAGCTGGGTCGGTGGTGCTGCAGCTGTGGCTGAAGAAAGTAAGGCCAGTGACTCCACAGCACCTTCAAGATTCAAGGTTCAAGGTAACTTTATTGATACCTGTAGGTAGATTTGTTTTGCAGTCTGGAAAGAGGCAGTTCAAGCGTTATGCACAAACATGAAAAACACAGGACATATGCAGCAGACAGGTTAAAAACAGCACAGACCAAAGACATTGACAGGTACTCCCAGTGGCTCACTGTTCGTGGTCACGAGAAATAAAATAAATTAAGAAATAAAATAAAGCAAACATTGTTGAATATAACTAAAATGCCAGTATGGCCCTGTTAAGAGCATGCTAAAAACATAAAAGCATGACACAAAAGACAGTAACTACTAATAAATAAAATAACAAATTGTAGCAATCAAGACAACCCTGTGTGTGAAACTCACACATTCCTCACAGGAAAGTTTCCTTATCTGGTCCCAGGACACAGGATCATATAAATCTTTCCAGACTTGTCGTAGGTTGACCAAACCTCTGACTCTTCACGATTGGTCAATTCGGAGAACAGAGACAGAGTTTTATTACCTTCCAAACTGACTCCATCGCTGACCATCTAAATAATCATTCATGCCTCAATCCAGGTCTCCCATTTGAGATTTACCATCTTAACGGACCCCAAAGAAAGGTCTGAGGAGAAGGACACTGACCTCCAGACCTCAGTTGTAAAACCCTGCTCAACCATGTACTGATAAAAACTGCATACCTTTGGTGAAAGACTGCAAATGACTGATCATGACATCTTATGCATTCAGCAATGTACTAATCTGTCTGATCATGAAATTTGTGTGAAAATGAGATGTTTCCCATTTTTCTATGTGCTCCAGAAGCCAAGTTATCACTCTGACAGAATAAATCCTTCTTCTTTAGTTTCTTTAGACCAACAGTTTTTCAGACTGTTTCAAGAACTTTTAAGGGTTAAATTTATTGACTATGACTCATAACTTTACTCTAAGTAACAGAAATAGTTTAAAAATGTTTGGTTTATATTTTTGTTATTGTAATTGTTTATTTAGTATTTTTAACTATTAGTTGGTTATAATGTCATTGAATAATCTGAATGTGAGTATTTAGAATCCATTATTAATTATGAAGTTTATTCACAAGTGTTTGCTCTTTTGTCGTTCACAGTTTCTGTGTTAGCATCTGTTTCATTTCAGAGTAATTTAGCATGTTCAATGTGATACTTAAAACATAATGAGAATGTTTGATGTGATCCTACATTTCATTCATATGTGTTTAGTATCAAATCATTTGTCATGAAACCAAGCATTCAATGATATTAATCATAGTGAGTGAGTATCAGAACTGACTCTTTTATCAGCCAAAAGTATAAGTTAGATCAAATAATCAGATATCTAAGAGGTCTCCTCTGCAGACCCCACGACCCCTCCTCTTTCTTCTCACACACACACACACACAGACACACACACACACACACACACACACACACACACACACACACACACACACACACACACACACACACACACACACACCAGAGACACTCCCAGTGTGAAAGGAGATAAAACCAGTAAACTTGGGGGTGCCTCTCTCTTATGTTTTGGCTCTTCTCTCCTTTCCCTCCTGCTTGTTTCCTGGGTCTTCTCTAAGGCCCGAACTACACGTATATGGATATTTATTTATCAGGATATTTTTGTACTCCCGTCTAAATAAATGTATCTGTCCACACGTGTTAGTTCTCAAAAATATCTGTGTCCACACGTAGCCTTCAAACTCAATCCTATCTGGTGCCGCTTAAAAAAAATTCAGGAACAAAGCTAACTGATTGGCCGATGAATCGTAACAGCGTGATGCATCATGCATTGTTTGCGGAAGCTACGCTAGTGCGTCGGGTCCATGTGACGGACCATGTGACCAATAAAAGTATTGGCCGCAGCAGACACGTCTGTGAGCTGGCTGACTGGTGTATGTAATTGTAAAAAACAAGGTTCACTTGCAAGGCTGAAATTAGCCCCAAAAGGGCAAAACAAACGTAAAGAATACCCTGTCTGTCCGCCATCGTTGTTGTTGTTGTTTTTCTTTTCAATTCGCATGCGCGAGCTTCGGTTTGACGTCATCGATCCGTAAAAGTCCAACCACACGAATCCACTACGGATACGGGATACGGATATTTTTTTATTTCCGGATTCAGATTTATCCGGTTTGAGTGCTCCAAACTCCCGTTTTGGTGTGGTAGGGAGGCCTAATCAGACATAAATATGTGCGGTTTGAAATATATCCGCATTCGTGTAGTTCGGGCCTTAGCCCTCTTCTTTGTTTTCTCTTAGCTCTTACCTTTTACTTAGCCTTACTTTTTCTTAGTCTTCTAAGTTTTACGCCACGTGTTCATTCACGTTGATTTTTCTTCAACATTGTCTTAGTTCAAGTTTTGAAACTTCAACTTTTTGTGTGAAATTGAAGTGTCACAGTCTGCTCCAGCCTTTCCCATGGACTCAGTAATTTTCCACTGCCTTGCTCACACCACACCAACTCCCTGATTACCACACCCACTCTCAGTCACTGATCACACACCTGCCTTCACTCAGTAATCACACACCTGCCCTCACTCACTAATCAGCCCCCCTGCCTTCTGCTCAGTATATATTCTCCAGCCTCACACTCACTCAGTGCCAGACTTTTCTTTGCCATGCGAGACTTTCCAGCGTTCTTCTGTCTGTCTTCCCGGTGCCAAGCCTGCCTGACTACGACCTGCCTGCTTCGTCTGCCTCCTGGTAAATTACCTCAGCCTTTTGTTCCTGACTACGAGATCTTCCTGCCCAACCTTGGGATTGTCTGCCTGGTCTGCTTGCCTCCCAGTTTCTGAACTTCTGCCTGTCCTGACCAAGCCACCTGCCCAGCCACTGAACTGTCTGTATTCCTGATAATAAATCTATTGACAGAACACCGATTCTTTGCCTTGTTTGTACTGCATTTGGGTTCATACAATACCTGTTACATCAAGATTAAGCCTTTAATAGATTTTTCTTTAATTTCACAAAGTTATTTTTGAAAGAGTTTCCACTGGTCATCGGGCCTCTTTTTCTGAGTTATCTGCGTGATTTCAAAGTCACCTCTGAATGCCACCCAGCAGGCCCAGTCATCCTCTGTGCCAGAGTTTTTGAGTGAGAAGATAGAAGCATCCAAAGGATCCACAAGTGCTGGTTTTGCTCCAGGCCCGAGTGCTGCAACTCCTGGCCCATCCTTCGGCTGACTTCAGTCATCTCCTGAGCTGAACCGCCGGTAGCCCTGGACCTTCGGAACCTGCTCCATCTTCTTCAAGGACCAGTCTCACTTTAGTATGCAAAACTCCAGAGCTCCAAACAGGGCTGATGCTGTCTCATCTCTCGTGTGGTCATGACTCAGATATTCACTTATTCTGGTAATGCTAGGTTTATCCAAATCCACATCCAAATTTAGCTTGACACCAAAGTTAGGGTAGGTTGATATGTTAGAGCATATTCACTGACTATCATTAACTTTAGTGCTCCTAGCCTGACTCAGAATCTTTTATTGTTCACCTATGATTATTTGTCCTCATTATCTTATAATTTATTGCATGTATGTTGTACCATCATTGTGGTAAAAAATGGAAGTGGAGTGCGTCAAGACTTAGTTAAAAGAGAAACATCTGCAGGAACAAAGCTGTTTTTGCAGCGAGTGGTCTTAACTCCTGGGGTTTGAATCCGGATGGTAGCAGCTGGAACTCACTCACTAGAGGATGGGAGCCATCAGCGGAAATGGAGCTGGCCAGTCGCTGTACCTGCCTAGTGTACAGTGACTGTAGGCACAGCTGTGACTCCCCAATGAGCCAACCAGACCATTTAATGATCTGGTTCAGTGAGTTCCTTTCTTTTAGGGGCAGGTTTCTAAACCATGACACAAGTGAAAAAGTTAACACCGACTCAATAAAAGCACAATAAAAAGTGTCATCATGGTCCTGTCAATGTGAAAACGGGACAGCTTCCGCAGACAGAGTAAATGCTGGTGTCCTTTCCTGCTCACAGCTTCACAGTTTAGTCTAAAATTCAAAGTGGAGTTGATGATAGTCCCAAGATATTTAGAAGATTTAACTTGTTCAATAGCTTGCCCCTTGATCGTGATGAGTTCAGGTGTATTGGCATTTTTGCTAAAATCAATGGCCATGTCTTTTGTCTTGGATTTATTTAGCTGTAGTTGCGAATCCTCACTCCACTTGACAAAGTTGTCAATGACAGGACCATGACTGTTTTCTGTTCCTTGAAGCAGGCTGACAATAACAGTATCATTGGCATACTTTAAAATGAATCGGTTCTTAAAAGCGCTCTGGCACATATTAGTGTACAGAATAAATAACAAGGGTGAGAGAACGCACCCTTGTAGTGAGCCAGTGGAGGAGCACAACTTTTCAGATAAAAAGCCCTCTGACCCTCTGTGTCTGGTTTGGTAAAAAAAATCTAAACTCCAGCCCACAAGATTATTACTCAAGTTAAAAAGCTTTAAAAGTCCCTGGGTTAAAATGTGCAGTTGAATTGTGTTAACTGTTAATTGAGAAGTCAATCGTTAATTGTGTTAAGGCTAAGGAGAAGTCAATGAATAAAAGCCGTGCGTGACACCCACTCCTTTCGGGGTATTTAAAAAGCAGGTTCACTAGCAATGACCACGCCACAGTGATATACGTTTGAATATTTAATATGAATCTGGGAATGTGTATGTCTTGTCTGTTGTGTGTATGTTGTGATGGATGATGAGGCTAATGAGGAGTGATGAATGTCTGGTTGGTCTGGGAGGTTCTGTAGAGGCCTGGCAGGGAGAGACTCAGGATGGGGGTTCTATATCAGGCTTCATTCTGCCCAAGCTTAGTCCAACCCAGACTGTACCTGAAAATGGATTAAGATCAGAGAGATGCAGACCAGGAAGGTGGTAGAAGCATTAATGTTGAAGAGGGAGGGTGGGTCAAAGAATCGCAGACAAACAGAGTGTGGTGGGATGGATGTGTATATGTAGGCTAGTCAGGTGATTGGAGATGTGGTGAAGGCATGGCCTTGCTCCTAAACCTAAGTTAATACATGAACTTCATTTCACTAGCAATGACCACGCCACAGTGATGTACGTTTAAATATTTAATATGAATTTGGGAATGTGTATGTTTTGTCTGTTATGTGTATGTTGTGATGGATGATGAGGCTAATCAGGAGTGTTGAATGTCTGGTTGGTCTGGGAGGTTCTGTAGAGGTCTGGCAGGGAGAGACTCAGGATGGGGGTTCCGTCTCAGACGTCGCTCTGCCCAAGCTTAGTCCAGCCCCCAAAGAGTTGTATTGGAAAGAAGCTTAATTGAATGTGTGCTTGATGCAGTTAGTTGGGATTATTTTGAATGTAGGAATGGTGTGCCTGAGATGACCGTCGTCCGTGGGTCTGAATGGTTCAATCTGATATGCTGAGTCTGGCTGCTGTGGATGCTGTGCCAATATGGAATTAATGGGCTGAGTAGTGCTCTGAAGTTATGCCTGATATGAGGAGGACTTGATTCAGATGTTTATAGAACCAGATTCGTGTAGCCGTGTTCTTTCATTTTCTGGTAAGTAAAAGAAGGCCATAAGGTGATGCTTGAGCAGCATGCCTGGAGTTAATGTAGTTTGTAAGTGGTTTATATGCACTGAGATAGGAATAGAGGCGGGAGATGTAGATAGGGAAAAAACCCAAGATGATATGTTTAGTGCATCAGGGTGTGAATGTGAACGAGAATCTGAAGTGTGCGCTACGATGTCTGATAGTTTGGGATGGCAGGATTAATTGAAGATAGATGAGGTGAGAGCAAATTAAGAGCTTCTAAGGAAACCGAAGAAGGCAAACTAAACATTGATTCTAGTGTAGAATCAAACGTTGGGGATGAGTTGACTGAATGGAGAGAATGAATGCAGAGGCTGAGTAAGTCGGAGGTGAGCAGTAGGCACTTGGTGGGATGTTAAGCTCCTGTTTTCGTTCAGCCTTTGATTAACGTTGTTTTGTGGGAATGAGAGATGGCAGTGCATTGTAGGCCAAAAAAAAGTTTGAGAAGAAGTTAATTTTAATGGTAGAGGACTGGATGTTGTGAGTATGGGTTATTAATTGCAGATGGACATGATGTCCAGAGAAGGGAAAGGCAACTGGTATGAGAAGCGGCATGACTTGAAGCAGTCCCAGCTTGCAAGGTCAGCAGAAAAAGTACTAGGAGCAAGACTGTTAGGTATTGCATCTCTTGAGGCATTAGTGAGGTTCGTTAGTTTTGAAGTTTGATCAATGTTGTGGCTGAAAACAGAAAGATTTGTGACGGATGTGGATTGGACTCTGGGGTCAGATGTCTGAATTTTATTCATGTCCCTAAAGTAAGGCAGTAATGAGAGTCCGTGCAGGGCGAATGAAGGGGACTGGGATTCTGTGTCAAGGTCTTTTAGCTCTAGAGGCTAGGTGGAAGTGATCCATCTTTCCCGTAGTAACCTCCGAAACCTATGGAGGGAGCTGCATCTGTGAACAGCTGAATATCTTATGGTTGGTTATAAATCATCACGTGTGTCTCCGTTTTGCATGCCTCGTTCAAGCCCACTCTGTTGTGTCAGGTTGGAATGGCTGCAGCTTTCTTTAGGGGATTAGTAAGAAAAGATTTTGCCTGAGAGATGATACGGATGGTGTAGTTGAGGTGGCTAAGGGGGGGCATTTACTGGTGTTTGGTGCATCTAATTTAACAGGTGAGCTGAGTTGCTGTGCTAGTTGGCTGACGGGTATAGTTGGGTCGTGTGGGCATGTGCTCCTGATGTGAGCACTTCTGCAAAAAGAGCAGACATGTAGGACAGTTGGAGAGGGTGTGGCCAAGGTGGTGAGGTTATTGCACACCGTCCTTCCATCTTGGTAAAGATTGGGCCTTTCTTTCTTGTTGACCCTTTTTAGCGAATGAGGTGGAATAACGCTAACAATGCATGCTGGGGCTGGGTGGAAGGGGGCTACTCATACTTGTGGAGAGGGAAGTGCGGGCAGCAGGATTTGGCAATACGAGGCAGAGACGAGTATGCCCCAGTATGTATTCTGGTTAAACTGCTAGATGCGGCCGGCTGCCTGGTTTGCGAAGTGTATGTTGTAACTGTGAAGTCTGGTGCCACCAAAACGCAGGGCCCTGCCCAGGATTATGGAAGAATGATCGTTAAGCGCAGACCTGCAAGATGGAAAAACTAAACAGACCAGGTCGCGGAAGGGTGAAAATGTTTAAGCGAATTCTACTGGTGTTAAGTCTTTGGGCCTGGATGGAAGTAGGTCACAGAGTTAAACTGGACCAGAATTGGTTTGCAATTCCTTTGGTTGTCTTGGGTCGATTGTAAATGATGGAGTAGCTGCGCTAGGTCTACGTAACTACCAGTGAGAATTTGTTGGCATAGTGCTTGTGAGATGTAAGAAGGATGGTTAATGGATGAGGCTGGTTGGATAGATGGCGCAAGCAGCTGTGGCTAATGTGTAATTGTGTACAGAATGTGGAAATACATTTGGTTATTGGGGAAGGGAGGGGGTAGGAAAGGGGACAGAGGGTTGACAGAATAGATAAGCAGGAAATAGGGGTGGTTTGGGATAGCCAGTGTAGGAGTTGGTAGAGGGCTCTATGGAGAGCTGAGGAACTGGCTATTGTGGGAAGAGAGGGAACATAAGCTGTATTACTGCAGGGAATGTTGGGATGGAAGGATGTATGTGCGAGGGAATTTAATGCAGCCTGCGAACGCAGGGAAGTGAAGAAAGCTGTGGTGGCTTGAGAAGTCAGACAAGTAGGGAGCAGCCACAGGGGGTGATACGACCTGATCCCCGCCAGGGGGAGCTGATAAGGCAGGTTGAAGGAGCAGCTCTGTGATGTCACGCATTACGTTTCTGGCGTTGACTGGCTCTGGCAGGGAAGCAGGAAGCGCGGGATTTTCGGCCGCGGTCGCTGAGGTGTTGCGGAGGAATTGTAGTGCAGGAATAGCCTTGCTTTGCTGTCGCTGCGGTGAGATTGTCTTCAGGGATCGACGGAGGTGGGCGACGGTCCATTGCTGATGTCCTGCTTAGGTCGTGAGCGTGGAGTCAGCCGTCTTGGCGAGGCTATGCTGTGGCAAGGCTGATCGGGCGGCAGTAGCTCAGGAGGTAGAGCGGTCATCCAATAACTGGAAGGTTGGCGGTTCGACTCCCCCCTATCCCAAGTCTGTCCGTTGTGTCCTTGGGCAAGACACTTAACCCACCTTGCTCCCAGTGTGTGTCCTCCACTGGTGTATGATTGAGTGTTGTGTGGTGGTGGTCGGAGAGGCCGTAGGCGCAAAATGGCAGTCACGTTTCTGTCAGTCTACCCCAGGGCAGCTGTGACTACTAAGGTAGTTTACCACCACCAAAGTGTGACTGTGTGAGTGAATGAATGATGTATCCAATGTAAAGCGCTTTGAGGGTCTCTGATAAAGCGCTATATGAGATCTGATGCATTATTATTATTATTATCGGTGAGAGCGGCGTGGTGGAGAGCAGATTAGGTTGCTGAGATTGTAGCTCCTTTGGACTACAGATCTTCTTGGTAGGGATGAGGCCGGGGATCTGATGGGAACCGTCGGGATGATGTTTCAGGGAGCGCATGGAGCACGATCGCTGTGACGCATGGCTGTGGTTTAATTGCTGCTCTCTGGGGGAAGGATAACTTGCTTGGAATGGTTCATTGTACAGATCCTCATCTGAGTCATGCAGCTGGAGTTCCATGTTGAGTGGCTGATTTTATTTGTTTCTATAAGGCGAGCGAGCGGTAAGGCGAGCGAGCGGTAAGACTCTGCACACGGTCTGTCTATGTTCCTCATCCCAGACAAACAGCGTGTGGTGGGATGGATGTGTATATGTAGGCTAGTCAGGTGATTGGAGGTGTGGTGAAGGCGTGGCCTTGCTCCTGAACCTAAGTTAATACATTAACTTCATTTAAGGAGCGTGAGTGTGGCATCCTCCACTCCTCTTTTCAGCCTGTAGGCGATCTGCAATTGATCGATTGCATTCTCTGTGTTATCCAGAATTTTCAAACAAACCAGTTTTTCAAAGATTTTCATAATTATCGAGGTCAGAGCAACCGGTCTCAAGTCATTCAGTGTCGTAGGGTGACTGGATTTGGGGACTGTAACTACAACAGCATTCTTCCAAATCCAGGGGACATGCTGCTTTTCCAGGGATCTGTAAAAAATTCTGTGGAAAACTGGACTTAGTTCTTTTGCACAGGTTCTAAGTAGTCTATCTAGTCCATGACTTTTGTTAATCTTTGTGCAATAAAAGGCTCTAATAACATCCTCCTGTGTTACAGAGTGATGCTGGTTGTCACACAATAGGGGGGGTTTAAAAGCATCCTTAATAGACCCGTACCAGAGATCCAGTGTCTTTCCATGTCTGGTTGGACAGGAGACATATTGATAAAAGTTTGTTAGGGTCTTCTCCAGTGAGACATGATTAAAGTCACCCAGTATAAAGTTTGGGGCTTCCGGTGAAATAGTCTGCAGTTTCTGTACAACGTCATATATGATGCGGGAGGCAGAGGCGGCATTTGCCTTGGGGTGAATATATACAGTTGTTATGAATATCTGAGGGAACTCATGAGGCAGATAAAACTGGCACAGTGACACAGACAGGAGTTCAACGTGTGGTGCACATATCTGCCCTCTGATAGTGACAGAGCTGCAGTATCGGTTATTCACATATATACATACCCCGCCTCCTTGTGTTTTCCCTGTCACCTCTGCATTGCGATCAAGCCGGTACAGGGTCCCGAAGCCATCTAGGAAGAGATCAGAGTCCTGGTCTTGCTCACTGAGCCGTGAACGCCAGGACGCAGCAATCCCTAAAATTGTTTTGGAAACGAATGTTCCCCTGAAGCTCGTCCCCCTTATTCCTAAGGGACTGGACATTAGCCATAATTACCAAGGGAAGAGGGATCCTGTTGAACTGCAAATGAGGAAATGAGAAGGTGTCCATTCAGCAACATGTTTGCATCACATATGATTTGGACGTTTAGAGAATGAAAATGCTTTTGGTTAGGGTTAGGGTTAAAAGTAAAATTATTTTCATTCTCACTTATTGCAACATGAGTGCAGTCAATTGCACTGATTAAATACAATGTAAAGACAATGTACCATTGTGACAAACCAATGATACCGCCTAACATGTCTGGCATAGCTCAGCTGAAGGTAGGCTGTGATATCCCTTACCTGTCAGCCAGTTCCCTCTGGGGGGTACCAGTTGCCAGAAAACCCAGTAATTGTCTGCACGTGTTTCTCTGTGTCTCACCTGCCTCTCGTTGCTCAGTTTTCCCTCCTTAGTAAATATCCACACGTTTCTCTGTGTCTCACCTGCCTCTTCTCCAGATTTTGTGCGTACAGGAGGGTCAGAGCTGCCATGGAGGTACGCAAATTCTCCTTTCAAGTTTGTTTGTTTTGTAAATCCCAAACATTGCTTACAAGTAGCGTATGCAGCATTTATAAATGAGGCCCGAGGTCTGTGAACTCCGAACAGGTTTGTCTTGCTTAATATTTTCCTACCAAGGCTGATTAATGCAGGTATTTCTTCTCAACTTTTAACACTCCAGGTCTGTCTTTTTTCCAGTTGGCAAAGCACCCATTGCTGTTTGTTGAGATCCAAGTCAGTATGTTATTTCCAGCTCTGACTTCCCTGCACAAGCTGACTGCTGGGCAGACCTGCTAACACAGCTATTTGAGAATGCTTGGCAAGCAAGCAGTGAACCTTGATAGGACTCCTTACGACTGACAGTCAGCCTAATCACATCCTAACAGAGTTCTATCTTTGTGTGTGTGTGTGTGTGTGTGTGTGTGTGAGGAGAAAGTGAGAGTGATCTCTCTATTTCTTGCAGAGCTTAGGCAACTCAGAGGGCAGGCTTCAGAACAAGTCAGAGCTGTCATATTTCAACGCCACCTCTCCCACGTCTGTATTCACTCAGTGCATGCCCACACATACAAAAAGACAACAGCCGCACATTCTTACCCTTTTTTTCACCCCCCACCCCCCAACTTTCACATCTTCTCACACTCAGACAATGTGGCCGCCTGCACTTGGGAGTGCCTGGTATTTGCTGCAGGGTGAATGCAGGTGGATCATGTGGATGGCAGGACTTTAGAAGTGTGTGGTTGCATGGGATCTCAGTGTGGGGCTCATTTGTTGCTGCGTCTCTTCTAATGCTTTGATTAACCTCTCATGCTGATCTTTGCCCATCATGTGCTCTTTTTATCTCCATCTGTGTGTGTGTGTGTGTTATTTTTATAGCTTCTTCACCTTTCATTGCCTCTTTTTGTTCTTTGCAGGTATAAGGCTGTCCTCCTGTAACAACATTTCTGTCACTTTTTTTTTTACATTTGCCACTTTTTTCTTGCATTCCTTTACCTCACTGCCTTTTACTTTTGTGAACAATACCAGGTTCCTAGTGTTTGCCTTTCCCACCACAGAGCTTGCTCTATAATCCTACCTCCTGTGTGTTTTATGTCTGTGTTGAGTGCCATCTGGAAATCCTCCCCAACTGGTGTCAAGGAAAGTTTTCAAATTCAGCTTCAAAGGCAAAACCTCCGATGTTTGGAATTGAAATTTTCTTGGCAAAAGGTAATTTTTTTTTTAAAGACGACTGTTGGACTCTCTGATGGAAATATAACTCACAATTGATTACATAAATATTTTGCTTCAAGAGCTGTGATCCATCAACAACCTGAAAACCCTGGGCCCCATGCACCCCGCAGCTTGAGCACCAGGACAGGGAGAGGGCAAGCCCGCAGCTTCAACGTCAGGTCAAGGAGAGCGTCCCGTTGCTTTACTATCGGTTGAGGGAGAGCCCTGAGTGCCCTTTTCTACAATCAACCAGCCAGCAAAATCAGACAGTAGCAGTGATGCCTCAGATAGCTCTGCATCTCAAATAAGCCTGGAGTCAGCTATTAAAACTGGTATGTCTTACCCCAGTGACAGGGCTAATTTTCCAGTAGATATTAGATGCAGATGTGAAAATGTTTAGTTATAAAGAAACTGCCTTAAAGAAACTGTTCAAAATCTTGCCCAGTCATGGGGTATACCACTTTCATTTCCGCAAAAACACGGAGGGCGCACACAAAGACAATTTGATGAGTTATGCAAGGATGAAAGGCTATCGAATGCAGAGGACCACATCAAAGTGTCAGTATGTTATGAAGCCATCGACATTGCCATTGCCCAGGTGACACAGAGGTTTCAGGGCATGCAAGAGGTGGCACCGAGGTTTTGTCAAAATCCAGTGATAAACTGTATAAATCAGCAAGTGCTTTAACTGACCAATACAAACGTGACTTGTCTGCAGATTTTCCAGAACAAGTGCTTTTATTTAGAAGTGCATTCATGTCCACCATAAAAGAAATCGAGCGTGGCTCAGTTCAAGATTTGGCACACACTCTATTCATAAAGCACCACTCCGTATTACCAAGTATGCCTGATGTTGTCACGGCTATTAAACTATTTCTCATGTTACCTGTAACTGTTGCAAGTGCTGAAAGATCCTTCTCAAAACCTAAATTAATTAAGATGTATCTGAGCACCATGGCACAAGAGAGACTATCGGGGCTGGCCATACTGAGTATTAAAAATAAACGTGTATTTATGTATATATATTTGTGTGTGTGTGTGTGTGTGTGTGTGTGTGTGTGTGTGTGTGTATAAATATAGAAAAGGTAGAAAAGATTCTAAATTGTGGCAAAGGAATGAAATTTACAATCTGTAATGATAAATCCCATCTGTTCTTTACTACCTTGCTAGTGCATGGTTAGGGTCCAGGCCACCGGGCAACAACGTTTAACAGAAACATATGTGCATCGCAGATTATTTGTGCATTAATTGAATGAAATGCTTTCCTGTTGACATAACTGAATTTATTGTGTGAAGGTGCTTTTATTGTTATGTGGATGCAATCTATGGCGATCTGAGAAGCCACTCTGTGTTCTCACTGAACAGATCAGCACAGTCTTTGAAAATATGCTCCCTGTGGAGCATACAGTTCTTTAAGTCCTCCAATAGCGCAAAATAAGCCATGATACTTGTATTTGTACTTGTAAGATCTCTATTGAGGTTGTCCTGTCACAACTGATTTTATAGCTTGTCACACCAACCTTTCAAAATGTCTGCTAAATAAATAATTGATAAATTTTGCACAGAGGCAACAGGGAACGTGTGAAGATTGAGATTGCTGAACGTTGTGACTTCTTTAATAGGTTCTATTTGTAGTTTCACTGTTCCACCACTAGATTTTGTGTTCAAGCATGTTTGGAGTTGTGCTTAAATTTACGCATGTTCCTAAGCACAAGTACAAGTTGATAAATTCCATACTTTGCGTGGGAACATTCATACGCACTCATTACGCACACATCTGTGCCTACGCACAGGCCCCAGAAGAGTGTAGTCCTAGGAACAGCTAAGATACTGCGCAGGACCCTCAAGCTCCCAGGCCTTTGGTAGAGGACCCGAGCTTGAAGAGACACAATATCAGCACAAACAGCTTTGTGATTTTTTGTTAGGTTCAGGTTACTTTATTTCACTTCAGAACAAATCTACCTTCGGGTATTAATAAAGTGATGACATCCATTTATACAAGTTACAGTACAAAAATAAAACAACCACAAAACAGAACACATGATAAAAGCACCCCAAGGCTCCCCAGTCAGGACATAAGAGTGAGAGAGAAAAACGTCAAGAAATGCAAATAAATAACCCAAGTAAACAACCTCTGGATACAAACCAAGGTAAAAACAGTTTAAGACTAACATAAATAAGTAAGTGAATAATACCTCTGCAGTATGTGCTAATTGTGCAAAATTATGTGCAAGATCTCTACAACTTGTTCACTTCAATAATAGCAGCAGGAACAAAGCTGTTTCTGTAACGCTTAGTTCTGCATTTGGGGTCTAGAAACCTCCGTCCAGAGGGAAGAAGCTGAAACTCGCTGGGCTCTATTCTCGTGTCTGCCGGTGAGGCGGCGAAGGGTGGCGGACCCTGCGCAGTTGTTTTTTCGTCTGGTGGAGCCCGGCGTACAGCCAGTTTGGTATTTTCGTGGACTGAGGCGCACCGAGATCTGCCAAGCTGGGCGTGGTGGCGTGGCAGGGGGAGGGGTCGACAGAATCAGTAGGGCACAGTGACATTTTCGTGCTCGCCACCAGCGTATAAAGTGCGCTGAAAGCTCGCAGATTGAAACCTGGTCAGCATTTTTTAGCACAGGCGGAGCGCAGCTGGTCTAGTGGTATATTGGTAGATCGGCGGCGTATCGGCATACGTCACCGATGCCTCACCGGCAGGTTTCCACAGTGTCAGGCACATTTTAGTGCAATAAATAATCATCAACAACTAATAATCTGAGTCAGCACATACATTTAGATCTATATAGATATATTCTGATCTAAATCTGATCTGATGAGGGCATTTGGCACACGTTTAGACACACAACCTGACCAAATTAACACAGCTGAAACCACATTGAATTAAATTAAATATCTAGCAAATATACACACATGATGAAGTTAACAAGATGTGTAATTTGTCTCCCTAGTTTTCTTTCTTCCTCTTCCTCTTATTTCTTGCGCAGCTCGACCTGGACATGTCTCCGTGCTATCCGCTGTAACTGTTTGGTGTACAGGGATGCCGGAGAAAAAGCTGTGACTCACCAATCAGTCGAGGAGACCATTTAACTATTTGGTTTAAAGCATTTCTCGCCTTCAAGGATGTGTGACCAAACCATGACACCAAGGAAAATGATAAAATAGATTCAATAAAAGCACGATAAAACATGGTCATTATAGTTCAGTTAATATGAAAGTGCGAGAGTTTCCTTAAACAATACCGACGCTGGTGACCCTTTTTACACAAAGCTTCCAGGTTGGCTTCAGAGTTAAATTTTTCATCAATAACAGTCCCTAAGTATTTGTAAGACTGCACGAACTCAATGGTCTGACCTTTGATTAAAGTGACTTTGTGCGTGTGATTTTTCCTCCTAAAATCAATAACCATATCTTTGGTTTTTAGAGTGTTAAGCTGGAGATAAGACTCCTCACACCAATGTACAAAGTCATCAATCACAGGGCCGTGGCTGTTCTCATTTTCCTGAAGCAGACTGACAACAACAGAGTCATCTGCATATTTTATAATTGATCTGTTGTCATATCTGGATTGTGTTAAAAGCAGATGAAAAGTCCGTAAAATAAAAGTCTGGCATGTGTCCCATTAAAATCCAAGTGTTTTAGAAGCATGTTTAGCCGAGTGAGTGCCGCATCCTCCACTGCTCTGTGAGGCCTATATGCAAATTGCATAGGATCAAAAGCATGTTCAGACTGTTTTAAAATCTCAGACCTCACCAGTTTTTCGAAGGTTTTCATTAAAACTGATGTCAGAGCTACTGGTCTGAAATCACCAACAGTTTTAGGGCAGTTCGATTTAGGGACAGGGACAACTACAGCATCTTTCCAGATGATAGATACATGTTGTGTCTGTAGTGACTTATTATAGATGTAATGCAGGGGTGTCAAAGTCAAATGGACGGAGGGCCAAATAAAAAATTTAGCTACAAGCCGAGGGCCGGACTGATCGAATGTTCATTGAAAATTTTTTAAATGACGCATATAGTCTGGTGAACCTAATTGAACCTACTGAAAACCTAACAAATATATTCCAATATGATCAGATAAATAAAGCAATATTTTCTTATGGCTCTGTCAGTAATCTTTAATTTTCAACAGACACAAAAGACAAATTTCCTTTATATAAAAATCCCCATAACATGAACATTAAATGAAAGAAACCGGTATTATTCAAGGCACCATCAGTAGCCTATATTTTCTATTTTAGCAAAAGTGGGCTAAATTTACTTCAAAGAAAAAAATAATAATAGCAATTTTCTATCATCCACTCAACTGACTCCAGACTCCCACCTTGTTTGAAACCCCCGGTTCTCAGTGTCCACCTTCCGTTTTGCCATTTTTGATGGGTATCTGAAAGTTAATTTTACTGTTATGCTGACGACTGCTGTGCTAATAAATATTGAAATGAAGCAGCCTACTGCTCGGTGCGTCGCCGTTGCATTGTGGGAAATGTAGTATTGGTGCGTGTAAAAGATCTGCGGGCTGCCGGCTTGCTGCGGTCTGCGGGCCGGTTCTAATAATAAATCAAGATCATCCCAGGGGCCGTAAAAAACCTTCTTGCGGGCCGGATGTGGCCCGCGGGCCTTGACTCTGACATATGTGATGTAATGGAACACAGGACTCAGTTCAGTAGCACAAGATTTCACTAAACAACCACAGATATTGCAAGGACCATGGCTTTTGTTAATTTTTACAGAGCAGAAGGCCTTTTTGACATCCTGAAGGTCAATGTTGAAGTGCTGAGTGTCGTTAAGTTTATATCTCAGTTCCTGAACTTCTTTGCTAAAATCAAAAGCATCAAAACGACAGTAAAAACAATTAAAAGCACTAGCAAGATCAGAATCTGAGTTGAAACCATCTAAGGTGATACGAGTGCAGCTCTCTGGGTTCTGGAGGCCTGCGATAGTTTTCATGCTCTCCCAGGCTGAACCAAGTTTGTTTGCAGCCATTTTCTTCTCCAAATCTGATTTATAATTTTGTTTTGCTTTTAAAATTTCAATCTTTAGCTCCTTTGTGGCTGAATGCAGATCAGATGCAGTTCCCTGTTTAAAGGCAAGTGATTTTTTTGTAAACAGGACTTGACTGATTTTGGTAACCCATGGTGTGTTATTAGGATATATTTTAACACGTTTACATGGGATAATCATATCCCTACAAAAGGCAATATATGAGTGTGTTACATCCACTAATGAGTCCAAATCATCACCACAGGACTGTCTGAAAATGTCCCAGTCAGTACAGTTGAAGCATTCCTGCAGAGAGATAACTGATTCCTCTGACCAGACCTTTACATCATAGCCTTAGTCTTCTCTCTTTTCAGAACAGTCTTATATGTGGGCAGTAGATGCATGCAGCTGTGATCTGCAGAGCCCAGAGGGGGGAGTGGAAGAGATTTATATGCGTCCTTTACTGATCCAAAGGTCCAGTGTCTTGTCCCGTCTGGTTGGACAGGAGATATACTGTTAAAAGTTTTTTAATGTCTTTTTAAGAGAAACATGATTTCGCCTGGAATAAAGTTAGGTGTGTCAGGTAAGACCGACTGGAGTTTCTGCACCACATCAAAGATGGTACTGGAGGCAGAGGCGGCTGAGGAAAACTCATGGGGCAGGTAAACGGACGTAATGACACAGATAAAAGTTCTACGTTAGGCGTACAAATACGCTCTCTGACAGTCACCGATGTACAGTAACGTCTTTTGACATATACACATACCCCTCCTCCCCGAGTTTTCCCCATTGCCTCTGCCTGTTGGTCCAAACGGAATGGAGCCCCAAAACCGTCAATGGACAGGTGGGAGTCCTGGTCGCACTCAGTGAGCCATGTTTCACTGAAGGCCATGACGCAGCAGTTCCTAAAGTGCGTCTGGTGGTGAACGTTTTCCTGAAGTTCGTCCAGTTTATTCCTCAGGGACTGGACATCTCCCATGATGAGCGAAGGTAGAGGGATCTGGTCAAGCTATTGTCTCCTCATGCGTAGTCTAACGCCTCCTTGTCTACCCCGCTTCTTCTTCTCCCTGCTCGTGCCACTACAATCTCTTGGAATAAGATCCGGTATCTGTAGTGTGAGGTCTGTCATCTGAGCTAAACTGGCAAAGTTTAGATGTAGTAGCGTGTCTCTGGAGTACTGAATCCTCGCCAGGCTTACAGCCTCGGTGACAGTCACAATAAAACCACAACGTGGAAAAATAAAGAAAATCCATTTTAGATTTGTGGAGCCTTCACTTGATGTACGAAATAAAAAATATACAACATAGAATTCAACGAAGACACATAAAAACGTTAAAAACACGAACACAAGGAAGCCAAACTCTCATCCACTGCCTGTCGCTGCGTGCGCATGCGCCCTTTAGCTGTTATATCAGTTATATAACTTCCTTTCTGTTTTTTTAACTAAGGCAGAAGAATAATATATTTGCTTCAGAACTTATGACTTCTCCTGTTCATCTTTGCCTTTGTTGACTACACAGGTGCCCAAATACTCTTACCAGCATCATAGTACAGTTTTACTCATCCTCCACTTTGGTCGATTTCTTTCTATTTCATTGATATCAACTCATTTTCTCTCTCTCTCTGTGGCGGGGTGCCACTAACACCGTCCTCATCGCGGCTGGCCGCATGCTCTCCCTCGCGGCTGGACGCCTTTTCTCCCTCTCGCTGTCCCTCGCCGCTGGGCGCCGACATGGGGAATAGCGTGGTCACTCGCGGCTGGAGTGACGGACGGACGGGAGTCAAAATGAACATAAAGGACAATAATTTCCCTGGACTCTTGCGTCCCCGTGGCTGGTGTTAGAGGGTGCACACTCAAACACCTACACGGGTCTCGCTTACACGCACACACATACACACTCACCTTCTGTCTCCGGTTCATGGACTGAACAGAGGCAGTTCGGGGTCACCTGTTAAATAACGCTAGGTGACGTGCCTCCGCGGGTCAGGTGACCCAGGGAGAAACCAAAGTCCGTGAATTAATTGATTATAGTGAAAATATTGTGTTTGTGTTTAATATTGGCTCAGCCATGTGAAGGGTGTGAGTAACAGTAATTGGTTTGTATTCTATTGTGTGTTTGTAGAAATATTATATATGATTGTCACACTCTGCTGTGTATCTCAGGCTGACTCTCACTCACCTGCCACACCTCACCCCTGCCACACCTCCTCATCAGCACTGATTCCCCACACCTGTGAGTGACAAGCTGCAGCTCCTCACTGCTGATTAGCCAGCCAGCATTTAAGTCACTCTGTGTCCCTCAGTCAGTGCCAGATTGTCTTCGCAGCATGCACGACTCTCCAGCATTATTTCTTGGATTGACTTCTCGGTTTCGACTCCTGCCTGTCTCTGACCACGTCTTATCGTCTCAGCCCTTGGATCCCCTGTCAAGTTTCTTCGCTCTGGTGAGAACTTCAGGTTTTGCTGTGTTACTGGCTTCCCGACCTACTGCCTGTCCACGACTATCCTTCCGTCTGATCCCTCTGGAATTAGTCTGCCCCGCTGATTGTCTGCCTGGATTCGACATTGCCTCCGCTTCGACCACGAGCCCAGCCTGCCCCTCGACAGTGCCGCTGCACTTCACAAAGACTCTCAGGTGTAGTGTGTTTTCTGTGTGCACTCACCTTTCTGCCTGTTGGACCTGTTTCCTGTGGATCAGTTTACTGTTGATCTTGGAGATTCTACAGAGACTGCTAAATCAATCCCAGTATCTTCAGTTACCTGTTTGCTGTGAACTATTGCAATAAAAGTAGCTTCTAAACAACTACCTGCCGTTGTGCTGCACTTGGGTCCTACATCCACACCCCTGACACTGATATAATAGCTGATGTCTAAAAAAAACCCTAGATTGTCTTGATTGGTTTGTCCGGAGGAGGGGCCAAGGGGTATCTAAGGGAGCTCAGCTCACTTGTTGGTGTGCCTCCTGGTTGAGAAGACATATGTTGGTCCTGGTGTTTGAATTGCGGTTTGTAAATAGTTTTTCCCTCTGTCTTTTTGTAAATCATTTTTGTAAATAGTTTTTTGTAAATAAGAGTTTTTCACCTGTGGGTATTTTTGGATATGGTGTAAATAAAAGAAAATCACGGTACTCGAGTCTCGACTGTGCCATCATCTTTCCCTCCACAACCGAAAAGGAATTTAAAGAAACTGAACCCCGACATTTGGTGTCAGAAGTGGGATGGCCAGTCGAAGGGGACGCATCTGGTTCACAGGAAGATGGACCGGACTGCGGTCACAAAAGGTGGAAGAAGCTGTGGAGGAAGCAGCCTGGGCCACAGAGGATGAGGATGAAGAGGGTGCTGCTGGCCCTTCCTGGCAGGCAGGCCCGGGAACTTCAGGTGCTGGGGCGGAGCTGCTTACAGTGATGAGAACTTTCCTGGAGGGGCAGCAGAGGAGAGAGGAGGGCTTGCTAGCAGAGCTCAGAGGGCTGCGAGCTGCCTTACCAGTCCCACAGCAGCAGCCAGAGGCAGAACGGAGGCCGGTAACACTGAGTCCAGTACCAAGAACCACTCCGCCATCTGCTGGATCGACGATGAGCCTCCGCCTTGAGTTATCAACTCCAGCTCCTCAGCCATGCCGCAGTTCTCCCGTGGAGGCACCAAGGATTGGGGCAAGTAGGCTGGCAGAACCTCCCAGGTCTGAGAGCAGACCCTGTGGTGACCCCAAGATCCCACAGTATCTGGCGGGAGAGGACATTGAGAATTACCTGCTCCGCTTCGAGCATATTGCCAGAACATGGGGTTGGCCAGACGGTGAGTGGGCCTGTCGCCTGGTGCCTCTGCTCACTGGGAAGGCGCTGGAGGCTTACACAGCGATGGATGAGGACCTGGCTCACTCCTACCCGGACCTGAAGGCAGCGCTCCTGACGAAGTTTGACGTCTCCCCGGAGACGTATCGCCAGCAGTTCCGGTCCATGGCTGTCCCACCAGGAGAGAACCCCACAGAGACTTACCACCGCTTTAAGGGTGGTACCATAAATGGGGAATGTGTGACTGCTTTGGTTGACTCTGGGAGCTTCCTGACGCTGGTGCAAAGGGAGCTGGTGCCAACGGGCAGTGGGGATTATAGCAGACAGGAAGACATTCTGTGCGTGCACGGGGACAGCCATTCCTACCCCACAGCTGAGGTGACAGTGGTGGTGGACGAGCAGCCTTATCTGCTGACTGTGGGGGTGGTGGATAGGTTACCTGTGGCTGCGATCCTGGGTTGGGACTTCCCAGTGCTACTGGACGTGCTGCTGGAGGCAGGACCCACAGCCAGTGACCTGGGGAAAGGGTTGTCTGGTCTGGTGATCACCCGTGCCCAGGCCAGAGCGGGGGTTGCAACCGGCCCAGGGCAGGAAAAGGGCCCTGAGCCAGAACTTCTTTCAACCCTGGACAGTAGTTTGTTTGAGGGGGGCACAAAGGGCCCAAGAAAGTCCCGCCGTCAGTGGCGGTTTGAGAAGGGGCTGAAATCCCAGGAGCCAGACAGAAAAAAGGGGCTGGCAAAGGACATATGGAACATGCAAGAGGACATTGGGGCCTTACAAAGGGAGGACACAACTCTGACGCCCCTGTTCGCCAAGGTGGTTGGGGGACAGGACCTAGCAAAGAAGGAGAAAGACTGGTTTATTGTGGACAATAATGTGCTCTATGCAATGGCAGATGATGTCAAACGCCTGGTGGTTCCTGTGTCATGTTGGCAGATGATCATGCACCTGGCACACACCTTGCCTTGGGGTGGTCATCTTGGTCGCAACAAAACCTACTTGCGGATATCTTCGAGGTTCTACTGGCCTTCCATGTATGCGGATGTACAAACCTTTTGTAAAACCTGTCCCACCTGTCAGAAGACTTGCTTTGTCCGCCAATCAGACCGTGCCTACCTCCAACCTTTACCCGTGATCTCCACTCCATTTAGGCAGATAGCCATGGACATTGTTGGCCCATTGGTGAGGAGCAGCAGAGGGCACCAGTACATCCTGGTGGTCTGTGATTACGCCACTCGTTTCCCTGAGACTTTTCCCCCGCGCACGGTCACTGCTCCGGCTGTGCTGCGTTGCCTTGTCCAGCTGTTTTCCAGGGTGGGTGTTCCAGACGAGATCATCACAGACCAGGGGACTTATTTCACCTCCAGACTCCTGCAGCTCTTCCACCGACAGTTGGGGGTCTCCGCAATCAAGACCACCCCATACCACCCTTAGACAGATGGCTTGGTTGAGCGTTTCAACCAAACCCTCAAGAAGATGCTGCAGAAATTTGTGTCTGACACCGGGCGAGACTGGGACCAGTGGTTACCCTTCCTGCTTTTCGCCTACCGAGAGGTTCCCCAAGCATCCACAGGGTTCTCCCCGCTTGAGCTACTGTATGGCTGTGAGGTACAGGGGCCATTGGATCTGCTGCTAAAGACATGGGAGGCTCCTGCAACAGGCACCAGTGACCGCAGTGTGGTCCACTTCGTGTTGGAGATGAGGGACCGACTGGCAAAGTACCAGGAGGAGGCCGAGGTCAACCTGCGCAAAGCCCAGCAGGCCCAGAAGGCGTGGTACGACCAACATGCCAGACGCAGAGTGTTCCAGCCCGGCCAGAAGGTCCTACTCCTCCTCCCATCCTCCAACAGCAAGCTGCTTGCCAAGTGGCAGGGCCCGTACACCGTCCTCCGGAAGATGGGCCCTGTGACCTATGAGATCCACCACCCGGACAAGAAAAGGGCAAAGCAGGTCTACCATATCAACCTGCTGAAGGAGTGGAAGGAGGCTCCGGCTCAGGGCCCTGTGGCGGCCCTATTGGTGATGGAGGGGGACAGCGAAGGGGAGGAGGAGTGTATGCTGAACCTGCTCTGGGCCATCTCTCTGCTGTCCAGTCCAGCCAGCTGTGCCAGGTGTTCCAGAGGGTCTCCAAGCTCTTCGCTGCCAGCCCGGGGAGGACTGGCCTCATCGAGCACGTGGTTCGCCTGAAAGACAAGGGGCCAGTTCGCCAGAGGAGCTACCGGGTGCCACAACATCTGGTGGCCAAGCTCCTGAAGGAGGTGGAGGAGACGCAGCGCTTGGGGGTGATCGAACCGTCGCAGTCAGAGTGGTGCAGCCCAGTGGTCATTGTGATAAAGAAGGACGCATCTGCATCGACTTCAGGAAGCTCAACGCGATGTCGGAGTTTGACGCCTACCCGATGCCACGGATCGATGAGCTGCTGGACAGGATTGGCCGGGCCAGGTTCATCACCACCCTGGACCTCTGTAAGGGCTACTGGCAGGTACCCCTGGAAGTGTCCAGTCGGCCCTACACAGCGTTCCAGACACCTTCCGGCCTCTTCCAGTTCACGGTGATGCCCTTTGGCCTGCACGGGGCACCCGCCACATTCCAGAGACTGATGGACCAGGTTCTACGGGGGTGTGAGGACTGCAGTGCTGCCTACCTGGATGATGTGGTCATCTTCAGTGACACCTGGGAGCAGCACCTGCATCATCTGGAGCAAGTCCTGGGCCAGATCCAGCAGGCAGGTCTGACACTGAATCCAGCCAAATGCCAGTGGGCCAAGGAGGAGACAGAGTACCTGGGGTACCGGCTGGGACGAGGGGAGGTCCGGCCGCAGGTGGACAAGGTGGAGGCCATCCGCAGCTGCCCACGCCCTCGAACCAAGAAGGAGGTGAGGTCCTTCTTTGGTTTGGCCGGCTGGTACAGAAGGTTCGTCCCACAGTTTGCCACCATCGCAGCGCCTCTGACAGCTCTGACAGCGAAGGACCAGAGAAACCCTGTCATCTGGAACAAGGACTGCGAGACGGCCTTCCACGCTCTCAAAGCCTGTTTGTGCTCTTTGCCAGTTTTGAGAAGCCCCAACTTCAGACAGCGGTTCCTGGTCCAGACAGATGCTTCAGCTGTGGGACTGGGGGCAGTCCTGGCCCAAGGTGAACCTGGGGAGGAGCGACCAGTGCTGTACCTGAGCAGCAAGCTGCTGCCACGGGAGACCAGGTACTCCACGGTGGAGAAGGAAGGCCTGGCCATTAAATGGGCCCTGGAGAGTATGAGATACTACCTGCTGGGGAGGGAGTTCGACTTGGAGACTGACCATCGGGCGCTGACGTGGATTGATTCGATGAAGGATCACAACAGTCGTCTCACCCGCTGGTACCTCTCCCTCCAACCATTCCGATTCCGGATCCACCATCGGCCGGGCAAGAGCAATGTTGTGGCAGACTATCTGTCAAGGTTGCCGCACGTCGCCAACCTCGGGGAGGAGAGGGGTAATGTGGCAGGGTGCCACTAACACCGTCCTCATCGCGGCTGGCCGCACGCTCTCCCTTGCGGCTGGACGCCTTCTCTCCCTCTCGCTCTCCCTCGCCGCTGGACACCGACGTGGGGAATAGCGTGGTCACTCGCGGCTGGAGTGACGGACGGACGGGAGTCAAAATGAACATAAAGGACAATAATTTCCCTGGACTCTTGCGTCCCCGTGGCTGGTGTCAGAGGGTGCACACTCAAACACCTACATGGGTCTCGCTTACACGCACACACATACACACTCACCTTCTGTCTCCGGTTCATGGACTGAACAGAGGCAGTTCGGGGTCACCTGTTAAATAACGCTAGGTGACGTGCCTCCGCGGGTCAGGTGACCAGGGAGAAACCAAAGTCAGTGAATTAATTGATTATAGTGAAAATATTGTGTTTGTGTTTAATATTGGCTCAGCCATGTGAAGGGTGTGAGTAACAGTAATTGGTTTGTATTCTATTGTGTGTTTGTAGAAATATTATATATGATATAATAGCTGATGTCTTAAAAAACCCCTAGATTGTCTTGATTGGTTTGTCCGGAGGAGGGGCCAAGGGGTATTTAAGGGAGCTCAGCTCACTTGTTGGTGTGCCTCCTGGTTGAGAAGACATATGTTGGTCCTGGTGTTTGAATTGCGGTTTGTAAATAGTTTTTCCCTCTGTCTTTTTGTAAATCATTTTTGTAAATATTTTTTTGTAAAAGAGTGTTTCACCTATTATTGATCTGTGTGTTTGCTGCAACTCTCTCTCATCTATCTTCCTTTGAGCAGCTGCTTTCTCATCATTTTCCCCTGAAATGTAGAAATTGATTAGGATCCTCCGGGCTCTGTAGACACCAGCTGTAGTTGTGCCCACCTGCCTGTTAACCCTGCAACATTGACGAGTTAGCATCTGCAGTATCTGCAAAAGGATATTTTCTCTCCCTGTATCTCTTTGTCCATCTCTCTTATTTTTGTGTTGTCAGATATGCTCTTGTTTTTTTGTTTAGTTTGTTCATGTGTGTGAATTTATCAATGCACAGCAGTGAGCTCATCCATTTTTTTTCTCCGAGGACGTGATGTTTGTGCCACTTCCTCCTCCTCTTACTCCTCTTCCCTGAAGATGCATTGCTTTGCTTCACTTATACATAAGGTAGAATAATTTTGTACATACATACATACCTATACACATAAACATAAAACCTGTGCTACAGACATGAAATAAAGCTGCAGGAGAAATGATGCAGCTCTTTGCCTGACCATTAGAGGGCAATGCTCACCCAGCTATCCCACATGAATGTACTTTTTTCTCTGCTATATTTTAATCTATATTTACATGCAAATTCCAAAC